AGATTGAATGTGAATGGCTACAAAGGAAGAGGAAGACCGAAGAAAGTATGGATGGATTGTGTGAAAGAGGATGCTTAAGAAAGGAGTGGATTCAGATATGACGGCTGATAGAGATGAATGGAAGAGCACATACTGTGCCGACCCTCTGTAAGGGATAAGGGCAAGTGGATGACAATGATGTATATCTTCTTATTTAGCCTACTAGCTTGCACCCGCGACTCCGTATACGTAAGTAAGTAGCCTATTCAGACTATGCTCTACTTTCATCGAGATTCGTTCAGCAGTTTAGTCTACAAACTCTAACAGACATCCATCTAAACTTTCGCATTTATAATATTAGTAAGTCAGTGATACTGCTCAGTATTTTAAATGCCGATTTCATAAAAACAATTAAATCTCTCTTTATAATATTAGTATTGATATATCTGACGTTTTTCTTTTTAAAACCAACGTGTCCTAATTGATTTTTTTTTATAACATAAGGTGGCAAACGAGCAAGCGGCCACCCGAATCCGCCAAAGTGGCAAAGCGACCGCTGCCCATAGACATCTGCAATTGCAGATGCGTTGCCTACTCTTATCCGACAGAGGAACAGACGCACATAAACAAGAAATTTGCCCTTCCTATGCATCTCCCCCTCCGTCAAATCCACTTCCCCTTCCTATCCTCTCCTTATAGGAAAAGGGTGTTAAAGAGAAAGGGACTTAAATTAGGCCTAACTTAAGTCCCTTTCTCTTTACCACCCTTTTCTTGGTCAGTTTTTTTTAATAATATTCCAGTGTTGTTAATTGTAAAAGTGATGTAAGTATGGTAGGCAATTCTTTAGTAACATTTTTAATCCTAATCTTGTATATTTCAACAATTGGTAAAAAAGCAATAAATTACCTTGAGTATAACACATTATCTTCATTATACCTATTGTAGTATATTTACGGTGCCTCAGGAAAGTTGCGGCGTGCGTACATAACCAGTCTTGAATTGTGGTCACAATTGCTTCACATAACCCGTCCATTCGCAAGATTACGTCTAATACAGAATTTCTACTTACATCACATGTAAAGCAATTTAAACCTTACGTACAAAGACATAAGATTCAAAATACTTTAACACGTGAGTTTTCTTTAGCAAAAACGTGCATGTCGGGCTCGGCGAAGCTTTAAATATTTGAGTTATGAAAGTGTCAACGATGTTAACCTCTTATCTTTTTTAATTGTTATTTAGTGAGTGATATATTTACTTGAAAACGCAATTATATTAAAACAATCTATGAACCCGTTTAAATGTTAATTGAACAATAAGAAGCCAAATTTTTTATTTATTTCCTATTAATAAATTGATCAGAAATGTCTTTAGTTCAGATTAGATGTTGTTCGCGACTTAGTCCGCGTAGAATTAAAAATCATAGCCTACGTTACTCAGTGATAACGTAGCTTTTTAATGGTGTAAGAATTTTTGAAATAGGCCTGATAGTTTTTGAGTTATTTCAATACATACGAAAATACAAATCTATCCTCTTTATAACATTAGTATAGCTAACAATGCGTATAAGAAATTTCATTAACTTTTGCATAATTTTAAGTTTTATTATGAGAGGTGTTGAGTGATTACCACAGCTCAACTGGAGGCAACTTTTGAATAAATAAATATGTAAATATCGTAAACTCTATTCACTTGGCGTTTTGAAAAATGAAACCGCTGAGACTTTAAAGCAAATAGCTTTTGTATTTTTCATTTTTAAATTTGTTTTAATAAGAAACGAGAAACAATTTTTCATATCCATAAATTATGGACACGAATAACTTTTGTTATTATATAAACTAGCTGTTGACCGCGACTTCGTCCGCGTGGTATTAGAAAACACACGAACTATATAAATAACAAAAAGCAACCTATCCCTCGGGAACCGAACATTTCTCGGGGATGAACCTTATCCCATATGTACTCTGTACTCCAGACTTTGCTTTATATCTGTGCCAAATTCCAATAAGATATGTTGAACCGTTGCAGAATGATCGAGTAAACATTAAAAAACTAAATTAATGAATCCCACGGGAACCGTAACTATTCCCGGGATAAAAATTAGCCTATGTATTCTTCCAGACTAGATGTATATCTGTGCCAAATTTCATAGAGATCCGTTCAGCCGTTTAGGCTACAAACGCTAACAAATATACCCATCCATCCATCCATCTAAACGTTCACATTTATAGTAAGAAGTAAGAAGTAAGATTGTCTTTTGCCCGCGAATGACCGCACGGAGTTAAAAAAGAAAAGTACTTCTAAAACAGTGTTCTAAAATCAGTACCAAATTTGATCTTCATTACTACATTTTGGAGATAGTATCTTACAATTCAGATCAGTTTCTTGTCTATGGCACTCCCTTAGCGGATTGGGTCAGTGTGGAGTGTTTATGGTTTTATTCTTGTTCGGAACGGTTAGAAGAGAATGGCAGATGTCTTATAAAATCAGAAAAACAGGTACATAGTGAATGGTGTTGGCGATAAAATAACAAAATGTCGACGCGAATCTCTACGCTCTATGACAACGTGAGTAAGTCGCTTTGCTAAACTCGCAAAGTTTTTAAATTTCACATCTTTTTATGTACGAAAGGCTTTAGCTACCTTTAACTAAGACCAGCGTGGAATTAAAAAAATATAGCCTATTTTACACACTGATAAAGTAGCTTTATAATGGTGAAAGAAGTTTTGTAATCGGTCCAGTAGTTATTTCAATACATATAAAAATAAAGATTTTCCTTTTTATAATATTATTATAGATAATATTTGAATCCCCTGACCAATATACAATACAAAATAAGTCATTCCCAAGTAGAATTAACAACATTTCTTGCTTAAAGCAGAGCTAAGGCTTGTGTTATACTATCCATTTCATATTCAGTTTGAGACCGACCACAAATAACCCGTCAGATGTCAGGATGTTGTGGGAAATATCCAGTTAGTTAGGTGAAGACCTCTCCCGAAGTTGGACGGTTTAATTGTTTATTAGCTGTAGGCCAGTGATAAATTGGTCCACGTCAACCGGTCTACTGAAATACAACGCTTTACAGTTAATGATGTTTTAAGTTGATTTTTTATGGTGATTAATGTTTTGGTTCTTGTTCGTAAATAACTGCAATAAGTACATTTGTTACGTTATATTATAATGTTTTTGTATGATGTGTATTTTATTAACTATGTTTATCGTAAAGGAGTAATATTTTTAAAAGATTTTGTAGTAAATGAAATGTGAAAAATGTTTCTTATGGATTACATCTTTACAATTGTAATTAACTTGAAATTATAAAAAAAAATTCATTAAAAGTATTATATTAATATTTTTATGGCTTCAAGATTAATAAAATAAAATTTATTAGAAAACCATACTTATGGGAATAACTGAAAGCAAAAGTATGACGAAGTTACATTGAAATAAAAGCTTATAAGCGTTATATGAAATGAGTGCAATTCTGGAACCAATCGTACTAAATCATGTTGTTTCAGTTTTATCAAAGTGTGTGAAAGGGATGACATATGATTCTATGCGAGGGTTTCGATAGTGGGAATACAGTAACCACTAACGCATTTCCCTTTACGAGAGAATTTGTTAATTACAGACAGACCCTGTCATTTGTTCCTAACTCTATGGTCCCGTTTTACTAGTTTCACACAAGGGCAGAAAACAAGACATTCCTGTACTGCTGCTACTGACTTGGTGTGAGCGACAAATAGTAGTACTGCGTTATCCTGGGAATATTACTGGTCTACCCTCGTGTGAAAGATTAGGCTTGATAAATCGGAGGGGACTGCACGTACTCAAATAGCTTCCGATTGTCCCTTTAATTAAATGTAATTAAAGAAAATCAATTGTTACTACTACGACAGGAATGGTTTTAGAAAGCTTTACTGCCAAATGTGGTGTTACGTCACTAAGGGAGATTCTAAGCGCAGATTTAGTATTAAAATCTACACTAAGAGACAACCTATGTGACCAATAAACTCTGAATAAGATTGTTTGTGTATATGAATTGAATTTGGCTGAGAATGCTTGATATTAGGTTATATAAAGTTTTCAAAATTCACATCTAAAGGAAACATAAATGACGTTATATAGAGTATGCTACGAAGTGCTACAAAGTGCTACGAAGCTTTTTCGTTATGTTATGTAAGTGCTTCGAAATTTTAAATTGCATCAAACCAAAACTATATACTTTTCGATAAAACAGAACATAATATAAATTTATGCTTATAAATTATTATAAAATTTCGATAATCAAATTTTACATAACTCTCTTTTATATTTTATATTATTTTTACTGTAAATTAAATTAATGTTCTCTTAGCATTTTAAATAAGAAAGTGGCTGCGATAGTGCGGCTTTCAATCTTCTTTGAGATATTAACTCTCGGCCAAAGTTCAACCACTGGCTTAACTGAAAGCTTCCGGCGTTATAGTGAATATTATAAGAAAATTCAATCTAAAGAATGAAAAAAAAAGGACTATTTTACTGTTAGTTGCATTTATTTCGCTGCTAAAATTGTATTTAAATCATTAATTTTTATACATACATTTATTAAATAATTCTTGATGTTCGTTTTTGTTCTTTTTTTTTTACTAAAATTGTTAGCATTGGTTGATTTATTAATATAATTGTAAGCTTAATATTGATTTCTTATTAATATTCAATAATCCAGAAAAAAAGCATCTTTTATTGAGTTTAAATCTTTGTCGAAAATCCGACTTACATCATTGTTAATGTACTGTTAATCAACAAGTTATTCATAGGGTATTTCTACTATAGATAATATACATGTTGCAACTTATGCAATGCCTTACCTCCACCACAAGTAGCCGAACATAGTGATCCAGGGGTTGCCAACCAGTGGTAGCGTGGTCTAGAGCAAGATGAGCCATCTCCGCCACACACACCGCACTCGTCGACACGTCTCGTCGAACCAACACGAAGATCACAGCCGACACGCTGTTAAACATAATTCTAACGTAAATCGTCAGATAGTAATAAATTGTAACATAACAATGACAGATAGTAGTAAATGTATACTAACATTATAAATGCGAAAGTTTAGATGGATGGATGTTTGTTAGAGTTTGAAGCCTAAACGGCTGAACGGATTTCGACGGAATTTGGCATAGATGTATAGAATACATAGACTACTTGCATTTGTTTTTTTAATGGAGTCGCAGGCGAAAGTTAGTTGTAATATAAAATCATCATTAAATTAATGTCCCTTGATGTCTGCACAGTACGTGGTGCTCTTCCCTAAATCTTTATCAGCCATTATATCTGAATTCACATCTTAAGTATATCCTCTTTCACACAATCCATAAATACTTTGGTCTTCCTATACCTTAGTAGTATACAAAATCTTAATACTTTCTTGTTTATGTCCTCATTCTATCACCGTTTATGTCCATACTACGCTAACCTTTTCTAAGTCGATTTCTCCAATGCTTACGCTACTTTCAAACTTTATTATGATTTGTACAAAAATAATGGCAGATTATTTAACAAACTTTCGGAGGCAGCTAAAATTTTTGTTAGAATATAGTTCGTGTGAGATCAAAGTTTTCTTCAAAAAGTTCTTTACTTTATTTTTGTATTTATAAGATTGATTTTGATAATATTTACTAGTGCATATAAATCTTATATTCAGTAGCGCAAAATAGAATACGACAATAGGAGAAAATGTCCCGATTTCATTGTAACCTTTATTGGAGGTACGTGAGGTCGGGAAATGATCAGGCATTGTGAAATATGGAAACTTTATTGCTTTTTTATGTTATTCATCCCTTTCATATGGCACAATGAGATATTTTTTTATTATAATGTACGTTGAATTTTATCGTATGTATGTAATTTTGCTTAATATTGAATGATTTTTGAAAGTGGTAGTGCCCGCTTTAACATCTTAGCACTGCAGGACCGGCACGCCCGGTGTAATACCACGACCATACAGAAGACAGGCGTAAAACGG